ATTTTGATTTGAGTGCATATTGCTTGTAATTGGATATTTGTGATTTTGCATGAAGAAATTATTATATGATAAAAAGTCTAAGATTTAAATTATCCTTTTAAATAATTATTGTCTATATTTTTTTTTAATTTAAGTTTAATTTTTTGATGATTTCTTAAAACATTTCAAGAAAAGAAAACTATACAAAAAAATGCATACAATTTTTTATTTAAAAAATTAAATATATGCATACTTGAAGTATCACGAATTGACTTCCAGACTAAAGATAAACATCATCAGAACAAGTGGTATCGAGGATTTGAAAACATATTCAACTCAAAATTGGAGTTATCCATTAAAGTGCAAAAGTTTTAAATTTCCCGCCAGTCAGCGATCGGCGGTGTTACTGCGTCATTTACATAAGCAGATCTAAAAATAATACGAGAACAATAAACACTTAAGATGTTTTCGTACATGAGCGAAGGGCCAGAAGTCATAAAAAAAACATGATGAAATGTGACTAGGATTGTACCGATTAATATTACGATGTGTTGGTTAGCGATGAAAAGAGATGTCAGAATTGTCACGTAACCCCCATTGCCCTTTTCGAGAAATTCGTACATCTTCCTTAAGGCGCCATATTTTACGGCATATTCCATAGCAGACGTAAAATTGATTGTACTGGGATCATGAAATCAAATGCTAGTAGTTTCGGTAACATTTTCTATGTACCATAAGCGCAGTGGTCCATGTCCGGTTGTTATTATTCTCCAGCTGGGTACTTACCAGTTACGTATTTCTCGTCACCAACTTTGCTGCAATCGGAGTGGGCAAATAGGCAGGTACGTAGCAGCCACGTCAAAACTCCAGTGGCTTCGTCACTGGTGGAGCCCACGACCTCCGCGCTGCGCGTCACGATCAAAATGGCCGACGTTTTCCCTCCACCCCCTCAAAAACTGATCGTGCATCGGATAGTAATGGAATTGATGCTCTCTACATGTGTAATATTAATCGTGTTATTTAAAGTATTCCATAAATTTACTTTTAATAAACTACAATTAACATATTAATAACTACTATATTTGCAATTAATTGATTTGTCATGTTAAATATATTGTGTTAATGATTAAATATTAATATATCGTAAACAATGGTTAGCTTTATAAAATTAATTAAATATTAATATTAATAATGAAATATCGAATCTATTATTTATTTCATTTTAATTGATTAATAGAAATAATGTAATTTTAATTATCATTTATCCTAAAAATAATTAATGACAATGTTTTAATTACTATATATAAAAATTATTAAAATCTATAAATTAAAATAAATAATATTATTTTTATTTAATTATAAGTTAATAATTATAAATTAATAATTATAATTATAAATTAATAACTGATTATAGTTATTTTTTTATATGTATATTAATTATTTCCTATATATTTCTTTTATGTTATACAACATTGTACAATATATTACACATATAACATATATATACAATTTATAATAAAATAATTAATTATTTATAAAAAATTTATAAATAAAATAATTTATCGATTAAAATGTTTATGTAATTTATTTAATTAGTTGCATGTTCTTTGATAATATAAATATACATTTTATTCAAGCATTAAAATTTTTTAATTGATATTTCAGTATAATATAAAAAAAAATACAGAATGCAGAATGTTGAAATTACTCAAATATTGAAAAAAATATTACATTTCAAATATATAATATATATGAATAATAATGATTTTATAAATGAATTTGCACATTTTAATTTTTTATCATTAAACAATAATTAATATTAATAGTAATTTATATAATTGTTATTTCATTTAAGTTTATTTTTTATTTATAAATTGAGAAGATAAAATGTACTTAATCTTATTATACATAGTGTTTATAATGTTTAATATTAATAAAAATTACGTTAACTGTTAATAAAAATTTCGTTATGATACATTGAAAATTTGAAAAAAAATGAATTACTAAATTTTTGAATTATATTTTCTATATAATTTTTACTTATTTTGAAATTAATATGAGTACATTGTAAATGTTAAAAAATTATATGAAATTTAAATGTACGTATAAAAATATTTGTGTGTATGTATGCGCACACGCGTGCACGCGTATGTAATTTAAAGAAATATGTAATGCTGACGTCATTTCGTGACGTCATCGTTATATTTAGAAACATATACATCTGTTTCAACTAGATTTATATCAATATTTTTAAAAATATTTTGTATTAAATTGTTAATAAATTAACACTTTGCAAATTTATGAATTTTCAATTCATGAATAAGTATCAAAAAATTATTTATTATTATTACAAAAAATTAAGTATTGAAATGTGAAAACTTTTAATAAATATCATAATATAATATAACAATATTGTAAAATATTATTATAAAATTATATATTTATCTATTAATTTGTTAATATAATATATAAATAAAAATAAAATTATTATATATTACAATTACATATTAAATTATGCATAATATTTTAATTTTGAAATTTAAGTTTCCTTATATTTATTTTAATATATAATTATTTTAATTATGAAACATTTCATTCAAAATTTTTACAAGTGTAAATTTTAAAAAATTATTTATCGTTTTATGGCATTCTCTCAATAGTTGAAAAACAGATTTAACATTATTGTAAACTCACATTATATTTTTATTGGATATTTCAAGATAATACTTACTTTAAGATCACTTTTTCTATTGGACGCAATATGAGAGTAAATTATGGAAGTATATTCGTTGAATAAGGAAATAGGAGAAATACCAATCAGTGTTGAGGTTAGAAATCTCAATGCAAAGAGAACCAATAGGAATATTCGATTCTTATTTGCTTTCTAAAGTATTATTCATTGAGAATTTGTGTTTCTTTGCTATATATATATCAGTAGTACGCGAGTGTATAATGAACATATTATTGAAATCTTTGTTGACATTTATAGTGACATAACCCTCAGAATCATATCATATTAATTTTCTTGATATCAACTTTTTTACGTACAAATTTTTTTATAAATTATCAAACTCTAAAATCACATCTATTCATTTAATATTTGATATATATGCAGAGATTGATAAGTTTGTAGAGTGAACATATCAACTATTGTAAGTGATTATGTTAAGATAAAAAATATTTTTTTATTTGATATTTAATCAAATAATCAAAAAAAGCAAAATATACTCATATTATTCGAAATATCAGTTATGTAAGATATAACGAATAACTATTACTATTTGACATACATAATCAAGTTTGGTTATATCATGTATTTTTTACTAAAGTATATAATAAATTTTTTAAGTTATTTAATGTTATTAATGTAATTATTAAATGTTAAAATGTTTATAATAATTAAAATGTACGTTTAAAAAAATACATAATAATGTTAATAGTGCTTAATAAAATGTTAAATAAATATAAGTGTAGAATAAACAATGAATTTCGATACATTACAAAAAATAATACATAATGATTCAATTTATTTCATTTAGAAGAATATTTATTATGTATTTTCAATATAAATATCATTCAAAATATCATTTTTCGATTTTCTCGAAGAAAAATAGTTTTTTTACGATTTTATACAAAATGGCACATATTATCTTTTATCATAAAAACTAATATGTTATAATTATTTTCAATAAAAATTAAAATGTTTGGCTTATAAAAAAATAACTTTAAAAGATTATCTAATAAAAAGTATATTTGATCGTTTTAAAATGTATATATTTAAATTATATCGAATTATATAGTATATAGTAATAGTAATGGTTCGAAAACGAAAAAAATTATTGAGACAACAATGATTATAGATTCAGAATTTGATTTTAATTTGATCGTAATCATGAAATATGCTATTATTTATAAAATGAAATGAAAATCTTTTTTTTTTAGAGAGTCGAAATTATTACTTTTTGTAAGACAAATAAAACATATTATCAAATATGTATATATTAATAAATATATCGTAATATTTATCAATTTCTATTTATGTAAAATATATATAATAAAAAAAAAATATAATATAGAATAAATTAACTCTAAATTAATAAAGTTTACTAATGATTTTTATTCCATTATCTAACTTAATTATAAACTATTAATACATAAGTTTTATAATTATTTTTTTCTTTTTAACAGTTCTTATTTTTAAAATCATATTCATAATAATTTCTATTTATTTTATTGATCTTATTTTACTGTTTTTATTTTGTTTTGTTATGGTGAATTTATTTTATTTTCAGATATTACAACATATAAAAAAAATGGCACAAACAACTACTATTGAAACAATCACTATTACTAGGCCTTTAAAGGTAATATTTAAATATCTTTTTCTTATTTAATTTTAATTTATTTTTATACTTAATTTTGTGCTTAATTTTATTTATTCACATTTATTTGTTACTAAATTTTCAAAAAAGTATATTTATAAATCATTTATAATTATTAATATATATATATATATTTATTTAATATATATATTAATTATTAATATATTATATATGTATAAAATAATAATTATTGCTGTATATTTATTGCAATCATTAAAATATTTTAAATTAAATTTTATTAAAAATGAAATCAATATAGATAAAATTCAAATTTCAGTATCAGATGATTGTTGACTTTGCTCAGAATATTTCGATGTTATAAGGCAAAAGGATAATTGAAATAGAACTTCAAAATTTAATTAAGATATTTATATTATTTTTACGATCATGTAATTAGGAAATATCTATAAGTGGAAGTATTTGTCTCAAATTTCATCTATATTAAAAAGCACCCTCTATCATGTACGCGCATTGCGCCACGACCTTTAATGGGCGCAGCTTCCCTGGAACTCAATTACTCCCTCAACTTCCAATGGAGATTGTCTCTATTTGACCTCGTTGTTGCTAAGATCTTTTTTGAGGTATTTTGATAAACGAACCAAAATAGGAAAGGACTAAAGCTTTATAGCAACAATGTAATGTGCATAACTCTTAAAGCGGGAAAAAATTAAAAAATTGTTTTGTGTATTGAACAAAAGAACGCGAACTGTGTTTACTTTATAATTGTTAATCATTTGCAAATTTAATATCTTCCAATTATTTCTAAATGCTTCCTCGTCTTCTATTGAGAGTGATGCGTGGAAGAGTGTACGATGTCCCGTAAATGGTATTCGTTAAAGAGACCAAAGAAACTGTGAACATTTCGAAACCATTTTTAATTATATACTAGGCTTCTCGGTTTTATCCATTAGGATTAATCTTGAGAAGTATACTGAGTATTTACGATGATCATGTATACAGTTGCAGAAGATCATATGGGCGATACTGAAATCGCACAGGTATATGTGGACTATGTTTTAATATGAATCTAATTGGCGATTATATTTGCCTACAACTTAATTGATCTGTTAGGCACTTTATTTTGAATAAATTTTTGGCGTTTTTATAAATCATGATTCATAATTAATAATTTTTTATGTATTTGATTAATTTAAGAATTAATCAATAAATCTAATATTTATTATAGTTTAAATTTTTTAGAAGTTAGAATATTACAAAAATATTTACAAAAGTTTGATATAAAAATAAAATTTCATTCTTATTCTATAGGTGATAGCATTCATATGTGGAATAATAGTAATATTATTAATGATAATGGGCTTAGCTTCTACTGATTGGTTAATGGCATTAGGATGGAGACAAGGGTTATTTGCACATTGTATTGAAGAAGCAGCACCTACACCTTTGCCATTTAATGTACCAGATTCTGCAGGATGTTTCCAAGCTAGAGACGTTGGTATGATAAAAAAATAATTAATTTTAATGAAATATCTAAAATATAAATTTGATTTTTTTTTATTTTTACAGCCTATATAAAAGCAGCTGCTGCCTTATGTGTAGTATGTTTAATAACAGATATTGCAGCAACAATTCTTACTGGTCTAGGTTTGAGGTCACAAGATAACCGTGACAAGCATAAATATTATAGATTTGCAGTCTTTTGCATGGGTTTTGCATGTAAGAATTAGTATTTAATTATTATTTAAATAATTTCAATATATATATATGTTTATAATATATATTTCTTTCTGTTTTAGTGGTATCACTCTTAATAGCTTTAGTAATATATCCAGTATGTTTTGCTGCAGAACTTAATTTTGGTTTGTATGCTTTTGAAAAATATTCTAAATATTTTTTTGCATATTTGCAATTAGTGTCATTTTTGTAAATTTGATAAATTTTTATATAATATAAATATTATAGGAAATCGACCAATGTGGGAATTTGGTTGGGCATATGGAGTTGGTTGGGGTGCAGCTATATTTTTGTTTGGTGGAGCGATTTTATTATTATGCGATAAGGAAAGCGAAGAAATTTATTACAAAGAAAGAAAAATTGTACGCGATGATATTGGCGGTGGCGGTTCTATGATTGGCATGGGACATCATGGTGGACGAAGTGGGACGCAATTAGCCTAGTGGCATTGCTCCCTGCCCGACGTTGTTCTCTAGGTGATTTATTTCTTCTTTTTCTGTCCTCACTATTTGATACATTTGTGGAGAAAAACGTACACATGTATAAGAGTAAACGGTTTTTATATATAGTCTGCTTGTTCACCAGCATATATTGGACATAACTATCACTTTGATATAGGATGTATGAAACATCTTATCGGCGAAAAGAGTTTGTAAATTGATCGAAACTTGATTAATTCGTTCGTGGGTTACCAATTTCCAATTTTTCATAGTAAAAATTTCGGGACCATTGCATCATTTAATTTACTGTAATATGATATTTTATGTATCATATAACTACAATTATTTTTTATGTAGTTTATATACATACATTATTTTATAAAATTTGTTAATTAATATTTTATACCATTATTATGGTAGCATTCATGCTGCGTCTCTTATCTATAAAAAACATAATGAAATCACAATTTCTATTTGTTGCTTATTTATTTAAGATGAGGCAACTTTATTAATAAGACTTTTTCAATTTGCTATTTATAATTTACCATTATAATCTTTAATTGTTTCGTGCCTGCATCTGTTTATTATTTTCTGGCTAATTTAAAAAATGATCTTTGCCGTTCGAAAATAGCAAAAAATACTGGAGTACTTAAATAAAATTTAATATTTTTTCATTTATGAAGATTTACACAAAGATTTTAATAATAAAAAACTAAAGAAGTAATAGAGTTACAAAACTAGAAACTGCCTGACTTTAGTCAATTAATGAATTATTAATTATTTTTATTTTTATATAAAATTTTATAGTTTTGGTTTAGTTATTATTTATTATCTTTATTCTATGTATTGTATTTTCATATACATATATATGTATATATGTATATTAGACGCTAATAATTTATTATTTTTTTGAATTTATTTTTACTTATTAATATTGAAAGTGATATTTGCTTTAAAATGATTTATATTATCAAAATATTTACTAATACTTTTGATATAATATTTATATTATCATATATACATATTGCAAAATAAAATTCGGGAAAAATTGTTCTAAGCGATCTTATGATTACATACACGCACACGAATTAATAAAATTAAACAAAATTTTAATTGATTCTTAGTGCTGGAAAAATAGCATTTATGGAAAAAAATTACATGCTTGGATACATTATCGATTTATATAAATTTTGAAAAATTTTTATATTTATTTTATTATTTTAAGATAAAATATCTTGTGATAAAATATTTGCTTGAATCATAATTAATTATAAAATTACAAAATCTTTTATCATATAAATATAATTTAACAGTTTATTTTTCTATTACATTATTTTCATGATTTCTATATATATTATTCTGATGTCTTCCTTTATTAATAAAAGTAAATGTAAATGTTTATTGTATTGAAAAATGCACACAAATGCTACCTCCAGTAATTTTTATTTTTGAAATACAGTCATTTAAATTATATAAAGCAAAAATGAAAAAACAATATAATTCTCTCAAATTAATATAAATTATTAATATAACATTTGATTTAATTATGAATAATATTAATTGCTTTCTTTATATGTCTGATTATAAGACTAAGATGTTTATTTGTATAAATCCTTTAGTTCTTGTTAATTATTAGTAATGGCTATTTTGTTTTCATATTATTTAAATAAATAAAATCATTAAACTTAAATAAAATCATGTATTTACTTTGTGTTAATATGTAAATTTAATAAAATCGTTCAAATGATATATACTATTATATATTATATAAATTTTATATAAATTTAACTAATTTTGAAATCAATATGAAAATTTATATAAATATTTTAGTATTTTTAATATATTTTGCTTCATAAAAATATTTGTATGCATCACTGTATTAAGATAATTACATTACATTATTACTATTACCAAGCATGTATGCAATGTGAGAGCTGAAATATGTATGAATTTTAAGTTTTTCATGACATTTTTAATATTATATAAATTAAAAATAATAATATTGAAGATTCATTAAATTTGGTAAAAAAATTTCTAGCAGTATTATATTTCATAGTAACTCTTAATTGGTAACCATTTTTTTTTAACTTTTTCATTTAATTTGATCAAATAAATATTCATGATTTTTATGCATTGTCTATAAGGAGAAGGATAATTTCTCCATAAATCAAAGATATTTTAAGTTAAAAACAGCACTAAATATTTAAGTGTGCGACAGAATAGAGGCAGCTCGGGCAGGTATTATCTATTATGTTATCTGCATTACATACGTGTACGTATATGTATATATAGGTATTTTATAAATACATGTAATAGAATGATACAGTTGCAGTTATCGCGATATTCTAATGAAAAAGACTAAAATGAATACAAAACCAGTACATGCATTTCGTATTATGCGGCAGATCAATCATGCTTTTTACAATGAAAGACAATTCGTATTTTAATGCTAAGAGTTACAGTGCATTTGATTCTTTACCAAACACTGTCGATTTGCGCCTTTCAATTTTGATATATACTTTTAAATGAAATGAAGTACTGTATAAGAATAAGAATATAACTGAATATTGAAATATGTTTGAAAGATGGAAACAAACAAATTACGATATATTAATTAAGAGGTTTAAAATATAGAAAAGATAAAAAGAATGTGTTACCATAAATTGAATAATAATAAAATAACTTGTATTTTGTTTGTATACATCTTTTCTGCTATATTTTACATTTTAGTACCTAAATAAAAAACAAAAAAAAAAGAAAACATAGAAAGTAAAGTTTCAAAATGCAAAATTATAAATTGTAATTTTCAAAATTTATAAAAATTTATAATAAAAATCCACGTTTCGAAATTGCCATCAAGAAAGCATTAATTTTAATCTGGAAGAAAATATACTATTATACTGATCTATTAATGATTGTAATAAACTTAAATATTTCTGCATTAGAATTGCAATGTAGATAATTTAATTTACTGTTCCATTATTATAATATATGTATATGTAAGCAAACAAACAAAATGATTATAGAAAATGTAGAATTAATAGAACATCATATCAGAAAAAAAAAATCTTAATAGTTTATTATATATAGTCTTGAACAAAAAACAAATTTTTTGTTATGCAATTTATTTATATATAATGTATTAAAATTAAATAGTTTTATTACAAAATAAGTAACTTACTCGGAACCGGCTAATTATTTAATAAGATTAAATATATTTAGTTTGATTTGATTGTTTTTAAATAAAACAAAAAATTCGAAATAGTAAAAATGGTAAAAATAAATCAACAATATTATTCATCGAAAAAGAATAGAATGACATTTCCTCTATGTTATTAAATATTAAAGATTTATAGCTTTTCGCTTTCAAATTTTTTATTTGTTTTTAGATTTTTTATTTTGCGAATTTCAAACAAAGAAGAGTGAGTTGCTTATTTTGAGCTATAAAAAAATTATTTACAAAGATTATAAAAAAAAATGAACAATGTAAACGTATAATTTTTTCAATATATTTACGATATATTTTCTTCAAGATTGAATTCATGTTAAAGAAACAAGATAAAGAAATTTTAAAATAAAATTATTTAAATAATCATAATTTTTTTAATTTATATAATTGTAATAATGTACATTATATTTCAATGCATAAAAAAAAACTTTTAATAAATTATTCACAGGATTAATGCTATAGCGTAGAAAATTGTATGTAAAAGTTTAAGAAAAAAGATTGATAAAGTAATAAAACGTAATACTTAACATTTCATATTGTATAATATACATATCGTACTTATTCATGCATATCGTAGTATACTATATTATAAAAAATATTAATGTCAGAACAAAAAAGTGTGTAAATTCGTTTTCTGTATTAAGAAATATTTGAATGCTCAGTAGAATTGTATGTAGAAATAAAAAATTATTTATGAGCATAGTACAATGTAAACATATCGTAATTGTACAAAGAATAAACAATATATCTAAAAATTAACATTGCGTATATTTATGTTTGAAAATAAGTTTTATGATGATATAAAATCAATCAATTCAAAAATCATTTCTTAATTATGAAATTATAAATATTTTGCAATTATTTAATTATTAAATAATGTAATAGGTGAAAAAAATAGAAAATTTATAATTTAATTTTCTTAAATATTTATAATATTCAGCAATATAGCATTACAAATGGAAATTATTTAATCGAATAGCCTTTTTTGAACACTAATATAACAAAATTTTTAAGTTCGTACATAACAATGATACAACGTTATAACTTTTTAAGTAATAAATATGAGTGCGCGCATGTATGTTTTATAATATGTGCGTGTACGTGTGTAATAAAGTATTGCTGAATAAATTCCATGTTATACTATATCATTCATATAAATATAAAATAAGATTACATATGTATATATTTATATAAACCTAAACAGAAAAAAAGTATACAAAATATAAATCTATCCAGGATTCATTTGCAATATAAAAACTAACTTTCTTGAAAAATATGTATGTACACATGCAGACTCGTTTGTTCATGCCGATAGCGAAAAACTTAACAGCATATTCGCAACAAAACTACGATATATTTCTCTCACTGGGTAACTGATATAAATTTTTATCTCTTTTCTATATTTTTTTCCCTGGTTAATTTATCACAAGTAAAGAATGAACAACATGGATCATAGATCATTAATGATCCTCTTTTACATATTATTTTTTCTCTTATCCATGTTTTCTTTATCTTTGAGAAACTTCGCGTTCGGCAGTAAAATATATATCAAAAATGTTCAACATACGTTTATAAAAGACATAAAATATCTTACGCACTCTCAAAAAAATGTTATTAAATATACATATAGAATGATCTACAACATCGTATGATAAAGAGTAACAATATGATATATATATATATATTTTTTTTAAAACATCAAAATCAAATTTCAAATTTTATTTTTTTATTTCTTTATCTATCAAAAAAATTAAACACATTTAATAAACTTAGTTGTGTGAAATTTAAATTTGTTTTTTTTTGTGATATTATTACTTGTATTTTTATTTTATTTTTTTTTTTATAAATGAAAAAAACTTAAAAAAGTATTTAATATAGCATTTGTCAGAAATTCATATGTTGTGTGTATCGAAAAAATAAATCACAGGCGCTGTTCTGTGTCCTTTATTTCATCCCGTTTACAAAAGTGGGAGTCCTTTTTTATATTTTCATTTACAAGATTCGAAATGAAAACAAAAGAAACGCTTAAAAATTCTATCATTTTTTTCCCATGACGCGAAACGTCCTGCGTATAAAGCGTAAGATAACATTCTATATTTATATATCT